ATCATTTACTTACAGTATAAAACAAACAAAAAATTTATGCCAAACATTTATACAGGTTTGAATGGAACCATTATTAATAATTTAAATGAATTTGTCAGGTGCTTTTTTATATAGAAATAGCTGTAACATGTGAGAGAGGGAATTAATGATGAACTAACTTTCACTAAATGGAACTTTATTGGTTATATTGCTAGTTTGTTGAAGAAAATCTTAGTGACATATCAGACAGATGCCCTGATAATTCCATCTTTTTAATGATTTATTTTCAACTGCATAAAGCTTAATAATTTTAATAATCAAACAAGATGTTTTATGCAGCATCATCAATTGGAGGTAACTTCTACAATTGATTTCACAAAAGCAGAAGTTTTTACTGTTAAGATTTTGGATATGCTGTAGAATATAACGTTATGGAATTATGGAGAAAATATGTGTTATATCAAAATGTGATTAATAGATTCATGAAAGATTGTTGGCTTATAGTTATTTGAGTTCTTGAAAAAATATTTGAAACAAGTTTAAATTGATCTTCTTTTCTGGAAGCAACTAGTTACATCAGTCTAGAGTCAATCTTATCCAAAGTAAAAGCTGGTCTTTTTCTTTCCTGCATACATATCTCTTCAAACAAGTGTGATTTTGCTTTCACACAGTTCTTGAAGTTGTTAGAAAAAAGTTCATCCAGCCTTTTACCGGCAATAAAAAAAATGCCACACTGGAAATCGTTTAGAACAATTTTGAAACCATCGAAGTTGGTATAAAATACAAGGTTTTGTCAAAAGTCTTACTGATTTTTATGTTAGGTCATAGTTAGGGTTGCCAGACGTCCGGCAAAAGGAGGACATGTCCTCCTTTTTTATTCTTTATTCTCTGTCTGGCAAGCAAAGCTAAAAACATTCAAAATGTTCGGCTTTTTTTAATATTTCAAGTTTTTAATTTTTTCATAAGCTTTTTTTTTTATATTTGTATATTTACATATTTAAACTTAGCTTTTCTTAAAACTGTATAACTTTTAAAGTTTTTTTTGTTATTCTATTCTTTAATTAAAATGTCAATTTCTACTTATAACTCTGTGCATTTCGTTTTTCCAATTGCATTGCAATGCTTTCTTCTTAGGGTGTATCAGGTAAAATCTTTAAGATTATCAAATCCTTCCTAACCAATCGTAGTATAAAAAGTTGTCCTCGATGGACAGCACTCTTCATATCCTGTAATTTCAGGGGTTCCTAAATGTTCTATTCTTGGCCCTATAATCTTTTTAATTTATATTAACAATCTTCCAGATATTCTCACATCTAAGGTTGCATTTTTTGCTGATGAAACTACCATTTATTCTTGTCTTGATAAGAAGCCAACACTCTCTGAATGCTTGGAGAGGGCATTTGAACTTGAAAAGGATCTCCCTTCTGCCTCAGCATGGGGCTCACAGTGCCTGGTGAACTTTAATTCAGATAAAACCCAATTTTTTTCAGCCAATCATTATTGCAATAATTTAGATCTTCTTACATTTATGAACGGTGATGTACTTGGTGAGACATCTTCTCTTCATCTTCTTGAATTAACTTCCAATCTTTCTTGGAAACCATATATCAAACCCATTGCAAAATTTGCATCTGCTAAAGTTGCATATCTTTATTGTGCTTGACACTTTTTTATTCCGGATTCTATTCTTTATCTCTATAAATCTCAAATCTGTCCTTGTATGGAATACTGTTATCATATCTGGGGTGAATCTTCCAATGATGTCCTTTCTATTTTAGACAAGGTGCAAAAATGCATTGCAAACACAGTTGGACCGGCTCTTGTAGCCAACCTCCAATCATTATCACATCGCCGTAATGTTGCTTCTCTTTCTCTTTTCTAGAAATACTATAACAAGCTCTTTTCTTAAGAGCTAGCGTCACTTGTGCCATCTACTAAAATTCATTCTCGTGTTACTCTTCATTCAATTGAGTCTCATCTTTTTTCTGTGACTCTTCCTAAGTGCTCCAAAAACTCTTATTCATCTAGTTTTTTTTCTTGAACATCAGTTCTTTGGAATTCGCTTCCTTCATCTTGCTTTCCTGATTCATATAACTTGCAATCTTTTAAGTCGTCTGTCAATCGTTATCATGTTCTATAAACTAGTAACTTCCAACTCTAATAGTGGATGCTTGCAGCCTTGTTGAAAGTGAAGATGTTGAAGAAAGATTTTGTTGATGTTTTAACACATGTAATTTTTTTCAAAATGAGGTTTTGTGTGAGTTGGATTTGAAATGTTCTTTCGGAGAAGGAACAATTTTCTTAGTAATGGAAAGTTTGTCCCTTTGCAGAAAATTGATGTTATCTCTGAATGGTTCCCCTTTTTACATGTGTTTTCTTTACAGTGTTACAGAGAGGGTAAAGCCCACACTACTTCAATGTTATTAAGGATACAGAATTCGACAGCTTCCAAAGTAACGTGACTTTAATAGCCACCTAAATAGAGTAAGCATTTTTTCATAATAATTTTTTGTCGGTGATTATTGAAATGTTTTAAGTAATGCAAAAAAATATTTTGTTTAATTAACCTGATTTACTACATTTTAAAGAGGTTCCTGTAGGAACTTGGAAACATCAAGGAGTTTCCCATTAAAAATCAAAAATTGTATACTGTGTCCTGAGGCATTAATAGTTGCCATTAAAGTTGTTAAAGTTCCTCTTTTAGTTACGGTTAGTTTTTGAACTTGTTGAGTGCCTTTTTTTAATAAAACCTTAGCAGAATTAGATGGTACCGGCGACAAACCAATTTTATCACAATTATAAATAAGTACCGGTTGATTTTCAACATCGATATCAAAAACAACCTTTTCTCTTTCTTTAAAAATTTTCTCAATTTTATGGTGGTTATTATCGGTTAGGATTTCTTTTTCGTTAGGAGATACTTGGGTACCATCTGAAATATTATTAAAAGCGAGTTTTAGATTTTGCCACTTAGGGTAAAAATGCAACAAGACAATTATTACCGATTGACATAATATACCGATTGACAACTATATTTTTGAATGTCTATGCTTTTCGAATATTGATGCCTATAATGATGTATTTTAAACATGCTAATCAATATAGTGGCTTGAAACAATCTGCGATGGTGAATATAGTGGCTTGAAACAATCAGCGATGGTGAATATAGTGGCTTGAAACGATCAGCGATGGTGAATATAGTGGCTTGAAACAATCTGCGATGGTGAACATTTAATGATTAGAAATGTAAATATAAGAAATGCATTCAATTGGAACAAATAACATTTTGGAACACAAAATTTAAGGAGAGTTATAGAAAACTATTTTAAAGTTAAATTTTAAAGTACTTTAGTTTTAAATGTATATGTAAAAACTATGGATTTATTATATCTTCAAAATACTTCTAATAAATTTATCACACTATAATCCCTAATATATGTCCAATGATAAAATTGTTTATATAATAATTATTATTATAAATTTTATTATTTAATATTGTTTAGAAAGAAAAAATATTGTACATAGTTTTTTTTTTTTTTTTTTTTTTTGTGGGACTATTTCATCATTGTGTGGCGAAATCACCCTGTGTTTACTTAAAAGCTTTACAACTTAATTTTGTGTTTTATTTCACGTTTAAATTGCTATTTTTGATCTACCATTTTAAAACAACAATCGATGACATGATTGGTAAATTCATGATTTGTTTTAACGTTTTTATTAGTTAAAACTGTTTAAAATTAAAAAAAATATATAAACAGGTGAACTTTTTTTAAAATTTAAATCTGAATTTTAAAGGTTTTTCAAATTAAAATAGTTTTTATAATATTTAAATTAAAATTTATTATAAAGTTTTTTTTATTTATTTATACTGTTTTTATTCAACTTATCAAAATGTGTTTAAAAAGGTTGATAGTAATGTATTTTTAATAGAGTTTTTTTTTATAATTTTATTTATGAAATCTAACTTTGAACGAATAAGCATTAGTTTAATTTGCCTTCTTTAGTTACTGAACTATCAAAGATTTGCTCAAACCCAACACCAGTACCGCTGTGACATCTACTAAAAATAGTGTTACACCTCAGATTTAAAAGAACTTTACCAAACAAAACTAGCTTTTTTGCAAATTAAAAAAGAAATCATGTTTTACAAACAAGATAAAAAAACTGTACATAATAAAGCAATATTCAAAAATTAGAAATATATATATTTGACAAGTATTTTCTGTGTCCCTGCAACGTCCGCTCCTGCCAAGCGTATATTTTGTCAGAGTGAATTTGTAATGCGGCTTCAGAGCTTGTTTATCTGAGTTGTTTGAAACTTGATATTTCTTAAATGTAACAAAGACTTATAGGCTATATAGTGATAGTTAATGCTTTTAAAATATAGTTTACACTTACAACTAATATCAACATATTTTAAAATGTTGATGAGTTAAAAGATGTTAATATTAGTTGTTAACATTAAGCACAAAAATACATAAAAATAAAAAATAAAAAGTTTTATTTTTTTATTTTTATGTATTTTCGTTTTTGGCTTTCATATTAACTCAAAATATTTTTTCTTACTGACGTTAAATTCTGCGATATAGTTTAACATGTTGTGTTATTGTCACAGCACTTGCTACCTGCAGTTTTGTTAACAATCAGCCTTAATGTAAGACTAAAATTTATATTTTCGGCTTTAAAATGTTTAATTTTTTTGCTCAGAAAATCAAATTGATAATTTGATTTTCTGAGCAAAAAAATTAATGCCAAAATGTTACATATTGTTTATTACGCACTAAAAGTCTATTACGCACTAAAAGTTTTATATTTACTGAGCGGTATTACAAAAATTTTGAATAAAAAAAAAATTTAAAATCTGATTATTTTATAATTTTTGTATATGTGAATCTTAAGTAAATATGAAAATCTTAAATGAATTATAATTATTAATTTAGCATTAATAAATTTAAAGAAAAAGTAAAATATTTACTAATAAAATTAAAAAATTGATTATTCCAGAAATTATTTTCGTTTAGATTGACCCAGTTGCTGCGTGCAATTGGTTGTACTGTGCGTTCCACGCCCGCCGAAAAAAATGAAGAAGGCATAACGACTGATGTTCCTAAATTAATCGCTTATCTTACTTTACCAAAAAAATCGAACGATGAGTTACATAATAAAAAAATAAATGATGAATTACAGAGTAAAAAAACTGAAGAATCACTATTATTGACATTAAAGCAAGAAGAGATGTAGTTACAAAAGGTTTAGTATTAAAATATCACAAAATTCAAAATGGCGATATTATTTGCGCACTATGATGCTTATTCTCAAAACTTTCTTAACTTGCGAAGGAGAAATTTCATATCATTTCAGCAAGTTTCTCAAAATTTTATTTAACGTTTAAACGTTCATGTTTTTGTTTTTTGAAATTAAAAAAAAAACTCATACAGTAAAGTAAACAGTAAAATTCAAAGCAGTTCTGAAAATAATTTTTTTTTTAAATACTACATTTTAATGTAAGTTGAGAAACTAAATGACATTAAAATTCTTTATATAAAAGTAATGAAAAATTTCAAATCACTTATTTTTATAAACAAAAAATCTGTTTTGAAAACTCTTTAAATAGGTTTAAAGTTGCTTGCACATATATTCATGGCTCATTCAGTTTACTAGGACTACTGGCTCCACATCTACCACAAAACTGGGTTGCTTTTCCAAATTTTAGGGTTCGACAGCTCCATGCTAAGCACTGTCGTTACCACATTGGCGATTTGCAGAAAAGCGATTTTTTTCGACTATGCGGTAAAAAAATCGCTTCCAATCGCGCGCAATTTTTTGATAAAAATCAACTTACAATAAGCGATTGACTCATTGCGAGTGACAGCATTTCGAGTACCTAATTTTTTTTTTTTATCTGCGTTCGATCAAACTTAGAATAATTTTTTATTCGTTTTATTCACTAGTCAAAAAGCAAATACAATAAATTTATTTATAATTTAATGGTGAAGTCAAAATGTTTTTTCGAATCGCTCTAGCATTCATATTCCTATTAATGCGGCTGGTTCTAGTTGTAGTCTGACTTTTAGGTTAGTGGAGACTACACATCAAAGTCTTGTTCGATTGCAACCCCGTCAACGTTAACCGTTAAGTATTTCTGGTTTGATTTGTCATGTGTAGCCAACATGCGTTATTATACATTTCTCAACGTTAAAATGCTTGAGTTAAATATGTAACCATTCCACTGCATTGTATTTTTCATCTTAAAGAGTGATGCTATCCGACTCATTCTTTATTATGCCAATTTTACTGTCGTGGGAGTGCAATTTCATTAAATAAACTATGACGGTTAGTTAAGAGAGCTTTTCTTTTAAAATTTCTGGCACGTTAAATAAAAAAATCACAAAGAGCAATAGACCCAAGACCGATCCTTGAGCCACACCAGTAATAGTTGCTTTCCATTTAGATGTGATGCCGTTGGTGACCACTTGTTGACTCTATTTAAGAATTCAAGTTGAGATCCAGTTTTTTATTTCGCCGGAAAAATAGGTGGCGTATTTTTCGGAATCACCGGCAACTTGGTATTTATACTTATACCAGGCAGAATTGAACCCTAATAAATTGAAAAAATATTCCAAACTTCGCTAATTAATGTTTCACTTCCAACCATAGACCGTCGTGTGTATTTCTCACATTATAACTCACTTTATGTAAAAAAGGTGAAAAGGCTTTAAACGTTTGCAGTTTCAAATGTTTATTCAGGAGATCTGTGTATCTACAACACCATGCATGGGTACATTGTACATTAAATATTACAAATACGATAACATGTATTGAACAATATTTAGAAAATATCTCGAAACTAATCTACAAAAAAGTATCGAGTTTACTCAAGATACCTTAATTAATGAAAAACTCGTACACGTCGAAAAAGAACTTAAAAAGTTAATGAATACGGAAATTACTAAAGTTGTAAATCAGACCGTACAGCTAAAAACAACGCAGAACGAAGCAAGCAAATTAAATGATGCACTACAAGAAAAAATTAGAAAACTAAAAGATAGGAATAGAAGAAACAATATTAGAATTGACGGTGTACGAGAAAATGAAAAGAAACATGGGATCAAACTGAAAATTGAAAAAGAAACATGGAAAAAGAAAAATGAAAAAGATACATGGGATCAAACAAATATTTAATGATCATTTAAAAATAAGTAACGTCATTATTGAACGAGCGCACCTTATGAAAGACGCTTTAACGCAGAGAAAATAGAGAATAAACCCAGAACAATCATACTCAAATTGTTAAATTATAAAGACAAAGAAAAAATTTTGGAAAACGCAAAGATGCTGAAAGGTACAGGTATTTTTATTAATGAAGATTTTTCATTTGAAACTAACAAAATAAGACGCGGATTAAATGAAAAGATGAAGATTGAGCGTAACGTTGGAAAATATGCTATATTGAGTACGATGAGAGAGAGTTTAATCTAAAAGCTAAGTAAGTAATTTTATTTTTTATTTATGTTTCAAAATTTTGTATAAAACCATGTATAAAAATGGAGCAAAACTCTATATTTCAATTTTCTAATGAAAATATTAATGATAATGACACTGAAACAGACTGTTTTGACAATTTGAATTTTGAAAGCAAATACTACTCAGTTTACCAATTTGCACAATATCTTAAAAATAATAAAAACGCATTTTCAATTTTAAATATTAACATCCGAAGTCTAAATAAAAACTTTGAAAATTTAAAAATTTTAATGGACGAAATAAAAAATGATTTTAGCATTATTTGTCTAACAGAAACGTGGTGTAAATGCGATAAACAAAGTTCACAGTTTGATTTAATTAATTACACGTCAATTCATCAACCACGTGATAGTTATGGTGGCGGAGGCGTTAGTATTTTGTCCACAATTCAATTGTTTTTTTCCCTCGTAATGACCTATGCGTTAATGAAACAGATTGTAAGTCATTGTGCATTTAACTTTATAATAAAACCACAAAAAATATAATTGTTAATGCTGTTTATAGAAAGCCATCTGGTAACTTAACAAAATTTAAACACATTTTTAACTAAAGTCAATAAAGAACGGAAGCATAATAGACATTTCTCTAATTCGATTGCGCAACTAATTTCTCAGCTTGAAAAAGAGGCCAGTAAGGACAAAAACTGATAAAAACTCAAATTTAAAATGATTAAATTTAAATAATAATTTCTCTCTTTTAAACAAGTCTTTCTCCAACCAGGAAATGAAAAAAGATTGAAGAAGAATGTATTGTTTTATAACACTATGTGGAAGTTCGTTTTACAATAGCAATGCGGAGAAAAATAAAGTTGATGCTTACAAAATTCGATGTTTACAAAGCTTGGAAAAACTAATTATTGACATTCAACACACTGCAAAAGAAATTACCTAGAAAATCTCCATGAAAAAAGTCAAAATATCTAGATTTTACAGCTAATATTTATAAAAAAAACTCATACAATAATCGATTCTACGGAAAAAGTTGATTATAAAAAATGTAAACTTTTGTTATCCAAAAAAACATTCATTGAAAAAAGTTGGAAGTATGTCATGAAAGTTATAGAAGCTTGCTTGAAGAATATAAAAGTTCAAAAACATGAAGAAAAAAAACAATTCAAAAGTAATATTTTTAACTACGAAAATGTTGAAAATTAAATATTTTAAATATTTCAACTCATTTACTGGCATGAAAAAATGAAAATTTTATTTGAATGTTTAAATCTTGAAAAAGAATGTGAAAACATGGAAAATAATTTTCTGAGAAAAGGCTACCTAAAGAATTGCTTTCATCTCCTTTATATTTCACACCAGAATCCATACGCGGTCAAAAATGAAACTGATTGACCAACTATTTATGTTTTTAACATAGCTTAGACTTGAAGTTTTACTTGAAGAAGTTTTACTTGCTTACTTATCTGGTTATTTAAAGCACCAATCTGTTTAGAAATACCTTATATACACAGCCAAGTTTTATACACCTTAAACTTTGTGCAAAACAAATTTGGCCAAATTTAAATCACTTAAACATAATATACCTAAATGTTTTAAAGAGACATATCCTCAAGTGAAATTTATTAATTGTATCAAATTGTTTTTTCAAAGACCTTTCAACGTACAGTTTACTGCATTACCTATAAAGTATTAGTTGGAATTGCTCTTTCTTGTGCATTATCATTTGTTAGTAAACTAATTTTTTTGGCTCTGATATTTGTTTTTCATAGTTAAGCAATTGCCTTTGCAAAAAAAAGCTATGGGAGAGTGATGATTCTGTAACGGCTGATAGGGTTTTTTATTTAATGATCTGCGTAAACCTTTAGATGTAACACTAAACATTCTTGCCTTTTTAAATGAACGAAGAGGTTATAGAAAGTCAACAACAATAGCACCAATAGCAGCATAAAAATTTGGAATGTGCCATACAACAAATAATTAAAAAAAGCAAGATCGAAAGGAAATGTTTTATGAAATGAAAAAAAATGTTTTATATGGATCAACTAATCAAATTTGGACTGTAAACTGCTTATGAAAATTTATGTAAACTTTATGAAACAGTTCTTATAAAACAGTAAAAATATAAGAAATATAATATTTATTATTAAGCACGATAAAATATATGTTTTATTAAAAAAAGTTTATCAGTAATATCTAAAAACTAGCATTAATCAAAGTCAGTGTTTGCAATAATAATTTTGTTATAAGCATAAACTATTAACAAACATTAGTCCAGATAAGTCCATTTTTGACTTGTGGATAATAGCCAAATGAGTGATGTTTTTAAAGAAATAATTCTCCTGTAGGTAATCAACCAGTATAAACTATTTATTGTTTGACTAAATCATTTTCTTTTAAGGTTTGCATTTCTCTTAGTGTAAGGAAAATTCATTTATTTTAGTGTAAGAACTATTATTTTAATTATTATTTTAATTATTATTTTAAACTATTATTTTTAACTATTAAAAATATTATTTTTAACTATTATTTTAAACTATTATTTTAATTTAATATACCTTTAAATCGATTTTAAAATGACTAAAAGACCACTGGCTTGGTGCAAGTCCAGATGGACTTGTTAACAAGTTCATCCGGAGTTGCTAGTGGTTGCATAGTTAAGCTAACAATCCAGTTTCAAAAAATTTTTATTATATATTATTTAAGTTTTTTAAATATTTTTTTTCATTTAACGTTTGTCCATAAAACTATTAATCGTGAACTTGTGTCTTGTGAACACAGGGAGAAACGCAATAGGTTTTACATATTT